AAAAAACAGTAAGTTAAAAATTAAAAAACAAAATAATCAAGAAAAATGGAGAAATCTTTTTTTATAATGAAAAAATATAATTTTTATTTACTAAAACTAGAAAATAAAATAATACAAATGTTTCTAGAAGTATAAAAAAGGAAATAAGCAAAAAGTGTAGAAGAGACAACAAAGCCTCTGTATTGAAACAAAACTTCGCTTCGTCTTAAATAATTATCGATTGTGTCGTTTAAAACACGTAGGACCTGTTATTATCCATCAAATATCGTGTTTGTGACATAATATGGTATCTTTTTTTAGATCTGGTGTATTATTTCCGTTGCACGCGAGTACCTGTTGATTTTTCTCTACCACGAAAGCCTCTCAAACTCGCTTTAATTGTCTTTGAAATGCCATCTGCTATTTTCGCTCACGCCACATTCTAATTTAACCTAACTCCTCTTCGTTCGGTCTAAATAATTCAGTCATTTTTACCCCAGTGACGTTATTATTGAAGTTGAATGAAGCCTTCCACCCCTTTTCCTCTAAAGTGGAAATGACGTTTTGTAGTACGCGTGAATGTCACAAGCAATGCCACGTGAAGCGCGTGCACATACACACTTAACACAAGAGCTGTCTGATTTATGTAAATACCTGCATTCAGCGATTGTCGTTTGCATCCCTTTCATCTTAAATTGCACGCTTAATGCTTGCTCATCTCTCATAACTTTCCCGTTTAATTCCTGGAGTGTGTGCGCTACGAAATTATAGCAGCTCTAGGGAGAAAAAACGCCAAAGCAAAACGAAAAACAAATCTTGTTCGTGCACTCATTCGAGCCAATCCGTTTACATTAGTGCTTCGGCAAATATTTTAAAATTTAGCGCTACACCAAACGGATTTCCAAAGCGAATGCCCAATTTAGACCGGAATTAATTCCGGATTTTTCACAGAACCGATTTCGAGCGTCTCAATGTAATGCACATATGATGTAAATAATAGTATATTATGTTATTAGGAGTAAAAGTCATAAAGCCAAACCTAGTGAGGCTAGTAATTCAGCTAAACTCACTTTTACTCCAAATAACATATACTATTTTATCCGCAAATGAGAGTAACGAGCAACACTATGATTAGCAAGTAAATGAACAAAATAATTAAAACGCATTGAAAAATTTGTGTTGATTTAACTAGTGGATGACTAGTGTAGTTAGTAGTGAAAAATGTCGAATGCTGAAGTACTTCGTCAAAAACGACAAAAAAAGAGACAACATTAGTGACATTTATTTGTGACATTTAGTCATAAAGTGTGACGTTTGCAGATAAAAAAATATTGCACTAATTTTAGACAACTTTTTGCTTTGCTCGTCGACATAATTGTAAAAAATAGCTATTTATGTATCAAGTACGCAAAATAGGGTTTTAGGGGAGGAATCGTAATTAATGACGAGGCGACGTAAGAGCCGAGTCTTTAATGAGAGGAGTCACCTAAAACCTTTTGCGCACGCGGCGCATACAAGATTTTTTTGTTAAAGCTCCCAAAACACGAATTCACACATCTTACTAATTAAAAAAATATCGTCACCACAGTAACCAATTTTATTTTTTAGTCCGCAAAAATTGTTTTTGGGGACTGAGTACATAAAATAACTGTTTTGCGTACTAATTTATTGAGTCCGGTAAAGACTCATTTTAGGGAGTCCCTAAAACAGCTGTTTTCGGGAGCGAATACAAAAAAACTATTGTAGTACGATTTCTGTTTTTGTTTGTCTTAGGCGTTCCTCAGTGCTCATTTATAGGCCCATTGCTGTACTCATGTTTCATTGTTGTGATGTAACTGACGGGTGTGCATAAATCAGGCATCGCGTTATGAGCACAACAAATCAGATAAAACGAAATTAGTGTAACAATGAGTGTTTCATAAAGCTGATAAAATGATAAGCTCATGTGACTGATTTGGTGTTCATTTAGATTGCAGTAACAGGAATAATATTTACGTAATTAAGGTAATAATAAAGTTGTGTTGTTGGCAACAGGAAAAACATCAACTTCCAACTTAACAATGATTGATTGCTTGTGAAAAGTTAGAAGGGTTTCTTGGATCGATTTGGAGTGCACAAATGTGTTCTACGTTCGAATAGTTCCAATTCGTCTAATTACAAACGACAAAACGGTACAGAAATCTTACAGTAGGTTAAAATCGTTCGTCTTGAGTATGAATATTGTAATTGGGGCTGCAATACCTATATAGTATATATTTCGTTTTATTTAAAACGAAAGTTGAGAAGAAAAATATCTTGAGAATCCATTTAAGTTAATTAATGCTGCGCAGTGGCAGCATTAAACTGCTAGCTTCTAATTGAATAATGAATAATGCATATTATGAAAGGAAAACAAGAACTTACCTCCGCGGTTTTCACTGTCCGCTGGTTTCACTTGGATGGGGCGGTTCATCTGGAAAAAGAACGTCAAAATATTTTTACAAGAACTACGATGAATCAGTGTTAAATATTACTACCGCCGGCTTTTCATGCATTAAATAACAATAAGTTTTTTGTTCTTGCACTAAACAGAACATCTAAGAAGTTTATTATGAATATTTCATAAACATTAGTCCACTAGACATAAGCTAATGGAAAAATCATTAGGGGAGCTTTCGACTGAATTTTTAATAAGAAATTGTAAACTGACGTTGGGAGTGTGCAACATATTTTCCGTCTAGTTCAATTTAAATGACGAGTTTTTTTATGGAAACAAGTCACACTGTACATCAAAACGTATATTTTTTTTTAGAAATTAGATGAAAAGATGACTTACGATCCTACCAAATAGTAAGCTTTTGCATCCAAATTTTAGAAAGGAAGGTGGCCAATTACTCTTCAGAGAGATAGAATTTTTTTCTCATAGGGATGTAATAGTTATTTATTCGACGAGTTTGAGTGTAAATCGGACGGATTATCTCATCGAGTGGGTTATTAAACCACGAGTATAACGAGTGGTTTATCATCCACGAGGTGGAATAAAGCGTCCGATTTACACTCAAACGAGTTGAATACAACATTTTATTCTTCAAATTAGACTCAATAAGCAATAAACTTGCTTTAAATCTGTTAAAAATAATCTGACGTTTCGTATTAAGAAATGCCAAACAGTTGTCAAAACTTTCTTACAGGGGAAAAAAACCGTAAATTTTGACAGTGTCGAAGAATAAACATTTTATCTCTCTTTACGTTTCCCATAGAAATGAGAAAACATAGTGTTAGATTTAATGGCGATACTGGGATACTAAGAGAAATTGTTATATTTGAAGGTTTTCTTAATGGGTTGTAGGAAAAATTACACTTAAGAAAAGTGCCTTTACTTACTTGGGTGGTTACTTCTACATCTGGAAGGAAAACATATACTTTCATCTTTTGTCATAGCTTTAATGCTGGTTTTATTCGCAAATTCATTTGTGTTAATTTTAATAAAAAAATGCTATTTTTGGTTTTTGATTTATTTTAATAAAAATATTATTAAACGTTATTAGAAAAAAAAAATGGAGACAAAAACTCAAAAGCGGAGATAAATCGAGTACCGCTAACATAGCACTGTTGAAATTTTAGTATTCTAAAAGTGCTTTAATTTTTAGTAACTTATTGATTAGAAGACAAAATAATCATGAATTAGGGTGAACAGCTTTTGAGGATGAAAAAAAGGGTGAAGAAAGTAACGATTTTAAGACTAAAGCTCTAGAAAAACTTAGTGTTTGCATGAATTTCAAGTCAAAATAATAAATTACCATAGAGGAAATATTTCATCTATGAAATTACACAAAATTTTGTTGTATGTTACACAGAATAGTTTTTTCTACATACACATCCTTTTTCATCACCGTCTTTGTAACAAGTTTATTTTGCCTCTAATATTAGGCTTACTTAGAGTTTCAAAATAAAAATAAAAGCAAAATTGTGAAAAAAATTGTATGAAAAGCAGCTGTTACCTGAAAGATTTGATTGACATAAATTTATTTTTTTTAATTTCTCAAAATGGAAACATTGTTTTTGTAAATTTTGTTCGGGAAATAGGCTTGTGTATGTTAATATGTTATGCACTAGACAAAATTATCGACAATTTGGTATGCACTTGGGATATTACTATCGATGTTACTCTATAATGAGGGACCCTGAATTTGTGTTTTTTTGGAAACGAACGTATGTCTTGCATAGATTGTTACGTTTAATGAAATGAAATGAAAAGATGTATTACATAGAGTAGATAGAACATTGCTCCAAAAAATGCATACATTTTGTTTGTTCCAGAAAAAAATGTTTTTAGTCAATATTTAACGCAAAATACGGTAAATTCAAGACTTACATTTACCCTTGCCTACTATTTTATCTACACTCACCACTATTTTCGGTGAAAAGCTAAATAACATGTTGCATCCAATTATTGATGCAGCATTTTGAGTTGTGTTTATTTAGTTTAACAATTTTTAAAATGTGTTTAATTAGATTCGAGGCATTTAGTCAGCTGTTGTTTCCCAGTGCCGTGGCAGCCATAATCCCGCGATTTGTTGGGAATAAAATCACTCGAAAAACGTACCAAATAGTTGAACAAAACGCTGAAAAACCGCCACAAACTATCGTTTGGTCAATTTGATCGTAATATTGCCTTAATTAGAATCTCGTCGATCGGCAACAACCGCTATAATTCATACCTCACATGTTCCAATTGCAGAGAGAATTCTGCGCTAATTTACTCTGATGACAGGAAATTAAAGTCGAGCTTCTGTCCATTATAGAGGAATGTTGTTATCGCCTATCAGTACATTTCCAGTGTCTGCTATTATAGCCGTGATATGCGGAATGACCGATGTCTGTCATAAACGCGTAAGAAAGCCGACAGCTGTAATAAATTATTAGATTGAGCCGTTTTCGGATGCGGATATTGATAATATGTCAGTACCTGTCGGTTGTTTTTGATAGGCCCGGAATATAATCACTGAGATTGACCGAAGAAATCGGTTAACGAGCTTTTGTTCAGGCAAATTTTGTAATTTATTTCAGTATTAACCCTCGTGATTGAGGGAGGACGATCGATAGTTGCCACAGCAGGGGCTGAACCAACTCCTGAACAATCAAGGGTGCAGTTTCGCACAATTACAAAATCACAAGATGAGTTATTTATCTCGACTAGAAGCCATAAATTGTCATTATTTGCCACTCATATTGACAAATATCGGTAACTTATGGATGAAGACAGTGAAATGATAAATGGTCAATAAAGTTGGATTAGACGGCGAAACAAAGCGAAAGAAAGATTGCGAAATTCTATATTCGACTAGAATTTTTTTATTGATCCTCTCCTATACCTCGAGCAATTTTCGGAAAGAGCTGACCCACTGCTTGAGATCTTATTGAAAGGGTATTGAAAAGATGAAAAGGCTTTCTTCTTAAAGGAAATGGCCGAAGCAATTACATCAAAACTCCATATTATAATATTTGCCATTTAAGTCAATAGAGAAGAAATTGGGAATAGAAGGAGCAAAAAGCTATAACAGTTCACAAAACCACCAAATCTCACACTAAGTAAAATTTAAGTTCCGTTCGAAACCGTCTGGGTGAAACAACTACATATTTCACTTGACGTGTCAAATGTTATAATGCAGACTTATCAGCATAATTTTATCAACGACTTGAATTCCGAATTTCGGATGCAACAAATGTTTTCTTCCCGTTCGAGGCGGTTATTTATGACCGCATAAAAACGTCCAGAGATATCTCTATTGAATTTAGCAACAGTTGGAACAACCGAGAAACAAATTTCTTAATTGCTTGCCTAATTAATTTCCTCAACCAGATGCTATCGCAAAAATAGGGCCAGGATTTCACTTATATTGGAAGGAAAATCTACGAATAACTAATATTTTGCCCCTGTCATAAAAAAATAATCATTTTATAGTTAAAATGTAATACAATTCAGGTTTTGACCCTAGAAATGTGTTGGATTAAGATCTGGTGAACGTGGTGAATTAACCACAAATTATGTGTTTCAATTAATGTCAATGCGAAGTTTACAAAATAAAAAGTGTTGGATAAAAATCTGGCACATTTCTTTCAACTCATTTGGTTTAAAAAACGTTTAATTAAAAAAAAAAAGGAAAAAGCATAACTACTACAACGTCTTATTTTTATTTAGTATTTTGGATTTAATAAATTGTGGATATACAGGGTGTTAAAAAAACATTGTAAAATATTTAAGGAGGTTGTAGTTTGGACCAAAATAAGTAAAAAAGTCTTAATAAACTTGGGTTTGCAAAGTAACGGTTTCGTTTGAACAGATTGCAAATAAATGTTTCAAAAAACGAATAATTTTTGATATCTCCAAAACCGTTACTTTGTTAAGACTTTTTTGTTTTGGTCCATACTATTACGTATCTCCTAAAATATTTTTCATTTTTTAACACCCTGTAGATGAAAAATACTTTTTCAAAGGAAAACATTGTTAATGGCGTAATAGAAAATTAGATTTTGTATTTGCACACCAAAAATAAAGATTTGTTGTATTAAGATCTGGAAAACGCTGTGGACCTACCTTTAATTATAGAGGGTGCGCAAGAACTCGCGCCTCAGGTACCGTAAGGTAGGATACCAGAAACATGGAAAAAATGTTAAAAAAAAATCTACCCATAAAAATTTCAAAGTTATGAGACTTTAAATTTTGTACTTTGACTCTATATATTTCTGTTGGAAAAATTATTTTCCATGTTTTTTGCTACAGATTATTAGGAGAGGAAACAAGGAAGATGTATCCTAAATTGTAACTCTGTTTAATGTTATTTGTGGGTTTTATTGGCAAAAATTTTTGTGCTTTTCTATGTTTCTGATATCTCATCTTACTTAAAATTTTTTCTTTGGAGGGCGAGTTTTGACACACTCAAAAAATACTTCTGTTGTCTTAACATGAATTCTTGGAATACTTGTTGGATTAAAGTCTGTCAAATGCGGTGGTTAAATTATGTATTCATTTTTTGCAACATGTGTGGTTTAGAAATGCTTATTTTGAAAGATGAAACTTCTTAATAACGTAGTAAGAAAGTGAATTCTATGCAAATATAAATTCAAAATATAAAAGTTTGTTGGATTAGCATCTGGTAAATCCAGTAGTCAAAGTAAATACATATTTATTTCTTGCAACCTATTAAAAATATTTAAATTAGAAAAATCGAAGTTTGAGTGATATATTGAAAAAAAAAATTCTGTCAAAAAAGTTGGATTTAAGGCTTAGAGGTTAACTTCAGTCTCTCAAAATTGTTAACACTGTTAAAGCATCTCCATTTTTTATTAAAACAGTAGAAAGGAGCCAATTATGGTAACTCCAATGGCTCAAAATTTTTAAAACTGTTGAAGCTTTTCTATTTTTTATTAGAACAGGAGAAAAAAATGCTAATTATGGTAGCTTCAATGGTT